CTGCAAAATAGCTAAATAGAGCCTTAGTTGATCACAGGTCAATCTAGGGCTCCTGGCAACAGTAGAATGTCCAAGTTCAGGGAGGGATATTGACCATGACCTAATAAGATGCTTTCTTATGAAAGTTGAACTGAATCATTTCAGTAGAGTCATCAAGGTGGCTTTCTGCCCTTTTCTTTTACTTTTCTGTTATTTTTTTTTCTGAGATGCAGACTGCCACCCAGGCTGGAGTGCAGTGGTGCAATCTCGGCTCACTGCAACCTCTGCCTCCCAGGTTTCCAGTGATTCTCCTGCCTCAGCCTCCCAAGTATCTGGAATTACAGGCTCCAGCCACCACACCTGGCTAATTTTTGAATTTTTAGTAGAGACGGGGTTTCACCATGTTAGTGAAGCTGGTCTTGAACTCCGGACCTCAAGTGATCCGCCCGTGTTGGCCTCCCAAAGTGCTGGGATTAACAGGCATGAGCCACCTCACCTGGCCTGCTTTCTGCCCTTTTCTTACTGCTTCTACTATCTTTTAATTCGGAAGATTAACTGGGAAGAAACTACAATCAGATGTTACTCACCTGTTTTTAAAATTATACATACTTTAGATTGCAGACTGAATACAAATATTAATCAGAAGCCAAACACCCCACACATTTCTTATCAATCAACCTAGGCCAATCTGTCTTTCAACTGTACATTTTTATGTTCTTGCCTCACCGCTTACTAAAATAAACATAAGAATAAATAGCAATCCAATTCAAATAAGCATCTCTCATCTATAATTATCTGAAGCAAGGGATTTAAAGATGGGTAGAGCTAATCCACCTCACCAATTGCATCTTCAGTGCCTGTTCAGTCATGCTTCAATGTCTACATTCAATTTATAACGAATATGAATATATAACGTTGTAGAGGGAGGCTTCTGGCAGATCCAGTCTGACAAGAACAAAAGGTCAAACAGTTCTTTTGCTGTTCTGTGACAGTTAAAGAGTCTCTGGGTTGGGTTAAAGGGTTGAAGAGTTATGTCTAGATCTGGAATGGATCACTCATACAATTAAGTTCTTGTCAGACCGAAAGACATGACAGCACAACTTTCCCCAGGCAAAAGGACAGCCAGATGGAAAGCAACTATTTTCCTCAACCTATTTCAAATTTTGAAATAAGAATGGGAATTAATGATGGAAAAAACATTTCTAAGTTTAAGAATATACTTCTACTTGGGTTGCAGGGGTTACACTTGGAAATCTTGGGAAAACAATCTGATTTTTTTCCCTCATTGGAAACTGGTTACTCAAGTGAAAAACTAACCCTCTCATCACCTTTTAACTCAGAAACTAAATACTAAAAGATATTAGAGTGTAGACAGTACTACTCAACTATTGGATCCATACATTTATTCATTATACATTGACTTATACAACACTGTTTGCAATGTAGACTTTAGATATTCATAGCTCAGCTGATGAGTTAACATTTTGAGTTTTTCCCTGCTGATGCTGCCTGCAAGCAAGTTTAGTTTTGGCATTTTCATCATCTTTGTCTGACATGAATTTTTGTTTTTGTTCAATTATTGGCGAAACAGAAGTATTGAGCCAAAGACAAATAATTAGGCTTACTATAGGTGGTATTTGGCTTCAAACAGATATTGTGTGATCAACTATCAAGGAAAACAATGCACAAGTATAAAGTTTTAGAAATACTCTGCCAAAAACGCTATCAAAAAGGCAAGATGGGCTAGGTGCGGTGGCTCCTACCTGTAATCCCAGCACTTTGGGAGGCTGAGGCGGGTGAATCACAGGTCAGGAGTTCAAGACCAGCCTGCCCAAAATGGTGAAACCCCATCTCTACTAAAAATATAAAAATTAGCTGGGTATGGTGGCAGGTGCCTGTAATCCCAACTACCTGGGAGGCTGAGGCATGATAATTGTTTGAACCCTGGAGGTGGAGGTTGCAGTGAGCCGAGATCATGACATTTCACTCCAGCCTGGGTAACAGAGCAAGACTGTGTCTCATAAATAAATAAAAAGGCAAGATGACTTGAGAAAGACCTTTCCTCTCTCCACTTACACAATATATGAACATATTTAAGTCTATTGTTCAACTTTCAATGATATGACTTTGTTATACATTTTTGGAGACCCGATATGCACTACAATAGGGGGCTACGTATTGCCTAAAGATTAGACTCTAAATCAATTATTAGTGACTATGTCCAGAACACAATCACAAAAGATTAAGAGATAAAAGAATCCATAGATCCTTTTTTACCTAATTCAAAATGATACTACTGTAGATAAAAAACTGGAGGCCACAAAGATTATTTTACTTGCCTAATGCGCTACAACTAAATTTACGGTAATGCTGGGTCCAGAACCCGGGGTTACTCTAAGTCAGCAACCTTCCCATCACTATTATTTTGTAAACCTTCGTCATGGTGACATTGTAATTCTATTAGGTTCCTCAAAAATCGTGGGAAGCATAATTCCTGAGAGCCTTGAAATTATAGTGCTTCTGGTGTCTGGGTCTGTGACTGTCCCTTGTTTCACAAAATGAAAATGGTATCTAATAAGACCTGAATGCCAAATCAATACAGGCTCATGCTGTAAATGCTTTTAAAATGGTTTCTGCATCTTATCTTCTAGGTCTAAGGTTAAATGTCCCTTCTTCAGACATGCCTTTTCTTTTTTTTTTTTTTTTGAGGTGGAGTTTCGCTGTTGTTACCCAGACTGGAGTGCAATGGCATGATTTCAGCTCACTGCAACCTCCGCCTCCCAGGTTCAAGCAATTCTCCTGCCTCAGCCTCCCGAGAAGCTGGGATTACAGGCATGTGCCACCATGCCCAGCTAATTTTTGTATTTTTGGTAGAGACGGGGTTTCACCTTATTGACCAGGATGGTCTCGATTTCTTGACCTTGTGATCCACCCGCCTCAGCCTCCCAAATTGCTGGGATTATGGGCATGAGCTACCACGCCCGGCTAAGACATGCCTTTTCTTTCTTTCTTTTTTTTTTTGAGACGGAATTTCGCTCCTGTTACCCAGGCTGGAGTGCAATGGCACGATCTCGGCTCACTGCAACCTCCGCCTCCTGGGTTCAAGCAATTCTTCTGCCTCAGCCTCCCGAGTAGCTGGGATTACAGGCATGTGCCACCATGCCCAGCTAATTTTTGTATGTTTAGTAGAGACGGGGTTTCACCTTGTTGACCAGGATGGTCTCGATCTGTTGACCTCGTGATCCACCCGCCTTGGCCTCCCAAAGTGCTGGGATTACAGGTGTGAGCCACTGTGCCCGGCCCAGACATGCCTTTTCTAGCAGGCTTACCTATGCTTGTCCTGTTCTTTATATAACTTTACAGCACATAATACATTTTGAAATAACATATTTATTTAATTATTATATATCTTCTCAAATACATTATTAATTCCATGAAGGCAGGGTCATCTCTGTTTTGTTCACAATTGTTTATGTAGCACCTACCACACAGTCTCAGCATATAAAAGAGGCTCTAATATTTATTAAATAAACAAATGAATTTCTATCTCTAATTACGGTTGAGGCAAGCCTTAGGGAAGCCCTAATTATTCCTTTTAGTCTGTCTTAAACTTGATATCTAAGCTCAAGGGATTAAAGTTCAAGGGAAGTAGATTTTCCTGAGATTTTAGCTCAGCAAAAGCTACCAATCAGAAAGATTTAGAAATGGGAATAAGCAGTTTTGTAGGACACTGATTTCTTTGTTAAAAAGAGATTGGAAAACCAAGTGCCCAGGTAAACAGAATCTCTCTGCATTAGGCAGGTCAACTTTGACGAACTGAAAGGTGTCTTCAAAGCTTCAGATACTGGAATTTGTTTCTTTTCGGCTGTTTGATTTTGAATTAGGTTAAAATAAAGTATACATACAAACTTCATTAGGAAATAATCTAGAGGCCATCTAATGAGACTCAGAAAACTGATTATTCAGGCATGCATGCCCATTTACCATTATTTGATACATGCGTATTTTACTGAGAATACAATTTGCTATAGGTCCTCCTACATGTAACTCAATGAAGAGTAAAGGTCCTTACACATGTAACTCAATAAAGACTAAAACAAGAGTTTTTAAAAGTTTATGTAGCATTTCAGTTTTAAACACATACACATGTTTGTGTGTACACACATATTCATGTGATTATGTAAACTCTGAAGAAAATGATGTTGAGCTCCTACACAGTAAGCAGTTTGTCCAAAGTGCTAGAACTGTCAGGTCCCAAACCCCCAAATCAGTGCTGTTCTCACTCTCATAGACCACACCACTTTTTTTTTTTTTTTTTTTTGAGATGGAGTCTCCCTCTGTCATCCAGGCTGGAGTGCAGTGGCGCGTTCTTGGCTAACTGCAACCTCAGCCTCCTGGGTTCAAATGATTCTCCTACCTCAGCCTCCCGAGTAGCTGGGATTTTTGTATTTTTAGTAGAGACAGGATTTTACAATGTTGGCCAGGCTAGTCTCCAACAACTGACCTCAGGTGTTCTGCCTGGCTCAGTCTCCCAAAGTACTGGGATTATAGGAGTGAGCCACCATGCCCAGCTGACCACACCACTTTTTAACTCTAGAATTACCCATCCTTTAGGCTCAGCCAAATTTCCATCCTCATCTCGAATTGAAAATACCTTTCTTCCAAATTTTACTAGAAAAGGACCAAATGAAATTAAAAAACATATCACTTTTTTTCCATAGGTGCCAATAAAAAAAATCTATTTTATTAGAGAAATTATAAACATCAAATATAAACAAATTATAACACAACAGTGATTAAAGAGTTTAAATAGTTAATACAACATCTCATTAGCTTGTATAATTGAAAAGCAAGTTACTAAATGTGATTTTTCATCCAGTTCAATGAAAGGATATTTCAATTCAGAATAGCTACTTTATTAAGTCAATTAAGACCTTAAGGAATATTTTTTTTCTGCAATGTTTAGTTAAAGCACTGAAAATAAGATAAGGATTTATCACAAAGTATATGGCAAGGGGAGAAAAGATCCAACATTATTTTGATCTACTAGATGATTCTCAAAAGTTACACAGGAAAGTGATTTAATGATTATAGACAAAGTAAAATACACTATCTCATCCTGTTTTAGAGTTGAAAAGAAACTTTGAGACTATCTAATTCAATTTCTTCATTTCTTCTTAATTGAGGTAAAGGATTTGAGAGTACCCTTGCTGTAAGTACCTCTTCTTGGGGGAAATCATCCTTATGTGAAATGCCTCAACTTTCTAAGAAAATGAAAACCACTTACATTTTTTTCTATGATGTCTTATGGCACCACAACAATTACATATTGAAATCTGCATTTCTAAAATCCAAACATGCATTCTAATGTATGCAGAAATCATGTGCAGTGCCTCTGCCATGAGGTGCTTTTCGTTAACCAATCTTCCAGCTATAAAAGACATGAATGAGGAAACCTTGGGAAAGGAATAACATCTTTGATATTGTCAACTCCCAAGATGCACTGAAGATAGCGTTCAAATCCCATCCCAAAACCTCCATGTGGCACAGATCCAAATCGACGAAGGTCCAGATACCTGTTTTTCAAAAAAAGAAAATCATCACCGATATATGTTGTATAAGATCAGATGTTATGTTTAGAATTTTACGTTTCAAAAGTATTTTGCAATCATTTGTTATTATTTACCTCACTGTGATAGACCAATCTTTCCACTCCTCAGACAGACCATGCAAAGGAGAAGTTGAATAATCTATCCAAGGTTACCCAGAGAAACAGCAGTGGATCCCGTCATACAGTCACGAGCTTTGGTCACTTTTCCTTTTTAAGCTATTCTATTTAGGCGTTAGACAGAAAACTTGCCTCAGGAGGCTACAGATTTTCTATAGCTTTACTCATTTCCTTGAAAATATATGCCTCTTTTATTTCTTGGTACATTAATAACAATGCTTCCTTTTCCTTCCCAAAATCATATTGTTCAATACACAGAGGAGATTACAGAGTATTGCCTGTTACATTACGAAGAGATATCCTACAGAACAGACTATAAGCTACAACAGAGCAGAAATTGTGCTTCATTCAACTTTTGATTGCCGCGGAATGAATGCTCTAGAGTAGGTGTGTACTACATAAAGTTTTCTTTGAAGGCATAAAAATACATGCTTGAATGCTGGAATGAGAAGAAACCTTCAATTCTCTGCCTCAGGCTTAGTGAAAATGCCCAGAGTCATTCTGCTGACATGCTGGATGGCCTCTGAAACCCATTCATGCACATTCTTTTCCCACTTAAGACCACATGACTAGACAATGGTACAGCCATGACTGAAACTCAGATGCTAATACACCAAAATTGGAAAAAGATTTAGAAACAGGAAAACGACAACTACAAATATTTTATTATGTTATTTGACGGGGAAGTTCTTGAGTTATATAATATTGATTAAAACAAGTTTATCTTTTCTTATATGATTTGTAAAAATCAGCTCTGCAACAAGACGTAAGCAACATAGCTTGTAGCTACTTGGCTCCTCAATCATAAACACTGTCTATCAGCCTATTTCCCTACCATTAATAATGGCTACATATACTGGTATTGTAGAAAGTTAAATCTAAGTAGTTATCTTTTTAAAAGAAAAGATTAATTCCAACCAGATGAGTTGTAACCAGGTAAGAGATCAACATTACAGGGATATCTAGTATAAGCCTTCAGATCAGTAAAAACTATAAGAAATAATGGGAGGCTGGGCGTGGTGGCTCATGTGTAATCCTAGCACTTTGGGAGGTCAGGAGATTGAGACCAACCTGGCTAACATGGTGAAACCCCGTCTCTACTAAAAATACAAAAAATTAGTCGGCCGTTGTGGCACACGCCTGTAGTCCCAGCTGCTCGGGAGGCTGAGGCAGGAGAATTGCTTGAACCTGGGAGGTGGAGCCTGCAGTGAGCCGAGATTGTGCCACTGCACTACGGCCTGGGCAGCAGAGTGAGACTCCATCTCAAAAAAAAAAAAGAAAGAAAGAAATAATGGAAGGCATATAGTCTTGAATAACTGAAATGTTCAGTTGCTAAATTAGCTTTAAGTTTACAAGTCATGGGAACAGTAGACTTTGACTTAGTGATGAAATGAGGGGCACACCATACTACCTGTCACAAATACCTGCAGGACCTGACCTGGCTGCTAGGAAGTCCAGCAATAGTTTTAGATGGGTCTAAATTTCTCATACATTGATATTAAAACACTGACATGAACGCCTGCAAACTGTATTCAGCAAAGGGGTTGAGTTTGTAGCATTCTTCTTGCCTTTGCTTTGATAGATGAAAAAATCTACTTCTAAGAAAGAAGTTTTCTAACGTATACGTATTTGTTTAATTGTTAAATTGGTTCCAAGGTAGTGAGATTGTAGAAGAGACCTATAAAATTTGTGGAACTAGTTAGAGATTTAATTTGCATATGGCATATAGAAATAGGAAGTGAATAAGTTCTTAGACATCTGGGATGGCTTCTTACTGGATGGTGGAACATTAGCAGACATCACAGATGTAAAGATGTTTAAGGTCTCTTTTATCTTTAATATACTAAGATAAATGGAAGCAAATATAAGATCTTTAAGGATTTGAAAACTTTAGTTGGAAAAAGAATGGTGCTAAAATGACTAATAAAGACTTGAAAAGGCCTAAACTTGTTTAACCAATAATTAAAATTTGTGTTTAGCTTTTTCCCCCCAGGCAGACTTTTGTTCTTGTTGTCCTGGCTTGAGTGCAATGGTGCGATCTTGGCTCACTGCAACCTTTGCCTCCCAGGTTCAAGTGATTTTTCTCCCCAGCCTCCCAAGTAGCCGGGATTACAGGCATCTGTCACCATGCCTAGCTGACTTTTATATTTTTATTAGAGATGGAGTTTCACCATGTTGGCCAGGCTGGTCTCGAACTCCTGATCTCAAGTGATCCACCTGCTTTGGCCTCCCACAGTGGTGGGATTATAGCTATGAGCCACCGCACCCAGTTTATTTAGCTTTTTTTAATGGTAGTTTTTACACACTATAAAATGCATAAACTTGGCTCAATCAGGCATATCTACCTAATAGCAAGACTCAGAACAAAGAAAGAAAAAGGGGTAGGAAATCAGTATTTACTGAGCTTCCACTCTACGCAGATAATTAACCTGTATTGTTTCATTTCACCTACACAGTACCTCTGTAAGGAGATATTTCATTTTATAGTCAAAAAACCAAGATTCAGAGAGATTAAGTATGCCTAAGGTCATTACTGGTTAACAGAAGGCATTCAAAGGCCATTACCTGAAGCCAATTTTAGATTATTTTGCTTTTCTGAAACCTATCTTCGTAACTTGCCCCTTACTTTTCCTGAGGAGAGCAAAAGGATTAGTAATACTATTATTTTTATTATTTTTTGAGACGGAGTCTGGCTTTGTCACGCAGGCTGGAGTGCAGTGGCACGATCTCGGCTCACTGCAACCTCTGCTTCCTGGGGGGTTCAAGTGATTTTCCTGCCTTAGCCTCCCAAGCAGCTGGGACTACAGGTGTGTGCCACTATGCCTGGCTAATCTTTTTGGTATTTTTAGTAGCAACTGGGTTTCACCGTGTCAGCCAGGATGGTCTCGATCTCCTGACCTTGTGATCTATCTACCTCGGCCTCCCAAAGTGCTGAGATTACAGGCGTGAGCCACCGTCCCTGGCCTACATTGTTGATATTATCATACCAAGATCCTGAAGGAATGCTATTACAGAAATATAAATAAAAAAATGTATATAGATTGAAAAGTACTTGAAGAAAAAGTCTGCATAAGCAAAACCAAAACAACTTTGAGGAAGTGAATCTATGAGTACAGACAGGTGGTCCTCCCTAAGCAGCTCAGATTTCTATAGTTCATAGAGACATTAGGGATCACTTAGCTCAAGTCCCTAAGTTCACACATAAAGAAACTGCAGCATAATGGTAAAGAGCAAAGATTTAGTTTTAAATTAATTAATTAATTAATTAATTTTTTGAGAAGGAGTCTCACTCTGTCACCCAGGCTGGAGTGCACTGGCACGATCTTGGCTCATTGTAACCTCCGCCTCCTGGGTTCAAGTGATTCTCCTGCCTCAGCCTCCGGAGTAGCTGGGATCACAGGCATGCCCAGGAAATTTGTGTATTTTTGGTAGAGACACGGTTTCACCATGTTGGCCATGTTGATCTGGAACTCCTGACCTCAAGTGATCCACCCACCTCGGCCTCCAAAGTGCTGGGATTACAGGTGTGAGCCACTGCACCCGGCCGAGCAAAGGATTTTGATTCAGAGAGATCAAGTCCCATCTCTATCCTTCAAATTGTGTGATCTTGGCTAAGTTAGTTAACAACTCTAGGCCTCAGCCCTAGGGGGTAAAAAAAGGGGGTTAATAATTGTACCTAACCCACAGTGTGATAGGATAATTACATGAGATAATATACATGAATTATTAACATAATTATCTCACACACAATAAGTAATAAGTAAATGAGAGCTATTATTACTATTTTCCAGGAACCCAAAGGAAGTAATCTTCTGAGCCCCTCCAACCCCTTCCCTGATCTAAGAACAGTTAAGTTCACAGTTTTTAACACTCTTTCACCGGGTCTTGGGAATACAAGTAAAAATGCTTCCAGGCAACAGTCAGACAAGCAGCTAGAGTAAGAATTATTAGGGCCCACATTCTTACCATTGGTAGACTTCTGTAAGTCTTGATCTGTTAAAGGAAAAGAAAATTATTTCAGGGAATGACAATAAGATAAATATTAACATTAAACATTTATTCTGGGTGTGTACAAAGAAGTCTTTATAAAGAAGTAGACAACAAAGCCTGTGCTCTGAAGTAACACTCAATATACTTGAGGAGCTGAATCTGTATAGTAAGTTAACCAATAGCACAAGGTGTTATGAAATAAATGGTTTAGACAATGTTATAGCAAAAAAATATGATCCAGAGTCTAAAGGGATTCATCTGAGATGAGTTCATTGTCCCGTGACATAAGAAAAGCACTATTTCCAAAGAAACAATGTCTTTGGAAAAAAAAAAAAAAAAAAAGTAAAGCACTATTACTAGGCCAGGCGTGGTGGCTCAGGCCTGTAATCCCAGCATCTTGGGAGGTCGAGGTGGGCGAATCACTTGAGGTCAGGAGTTAAAGACCAGCCTTGCCAATATGGTGAAACCCCAGCTCTACTAAAAATATAAAAATGAGCTGGGTGTGGTGGTGCATGCCTGTAGTTCCAGCTACTCAGGAGACTGAGGTAGACGGACTGCTTGAACCTAGGAGACAAAGGTTGCAGTGAACCAAGAATATGCCACTGCACTACAGTCTGGACAACACAATGAGACTCCATCTCAAAAGAAAAAAAAAAAAAGCAAAGCACTATTACTAGTTAAGGTTGCTGGGAGGCACACACAGACAAGGAACACATAGATAAACTTTCATTTTTCAACATTAAAACAATAATAAGATTCTGAGGCTGCCTTCACAATATGGTGGCAAATTTATTCTTTTTTCAGAAATATTATCAAAATTTTAAATTCTTAGTCGTAACTGAAATTCAACTCAGCCCTTTAAAAAAGTGTTTCAGATCACACTGCATCTAACATGACCAGGAATATGAAAAATTGAAATATGCAAAAATACAGAAAACATGAAGAGCAGCCACAGACAGATCCCTGAAATAGGGAATCATATATATCCACTTCATTAGGAAAGATGAATTTGGCTATTATCAGGTATTAGGTAAACATTTAATGTTACGAGGAAAGATTTCCTGGAGGAAGGAAGCGAGCAAAGAAAACAGATCAATTAATCTTTCAACAGATGAGGTTTCTTGCCATGTGTCATTTTTATTGTGCTTTTTAAAAAATGTAGAGGATCCTCATGTTCTTTCCAACTAGAGTTTGACCTTCAATTCCACAACTTTCTCAGGACTTTTTAACACTGTAATAGTAGTAAGAAGTTAGTACTCTAACACATACAGAGTCTTCCCCAAATCTATTTAACCCCTTTCTTCTAGATCTTAACCCAATAGAGCAGTTCAGATGACTGGGATAACAAAACTAAGATACCCAAGAGATTTACATATAAGTTGGGATCTTGAAACAGCATCAACTTTTAAAGCATTTCCCCACTAGGAAGAGAAGGCCCTGCAAATGGCTAAAAGAATATTTTAAAACAGTTATGACTTTTCCAGGTTACTATGAAACCCAGTACTATCTTGTGAGAATTAAGCATACAGACATGGTAAAGTCTTTTTTCTTTTTTTAAAGCCTGGCACTACTTTTCTTAAGTAGAAATCAAGGAAAACAGAGGTATGGTTAGTTTAGGAAGTCATTATGGCTTGTTGGCAGGCCATATATATGTAGGAGTGGTGGTTCAATCAGAAACACGATTCCTTACTTCCCATCTCCAAAACATTCTCTATGCGTTTACAGATTTATTTCCCAGTTCTCAAACAGCAAGTTAAAATAAAGTTATTTAAGTAACTAAATCAAGACCCTTACAAAGAAGAGAATCTGAAGAAGTGAAATGTGCTTATTCTAAATGCTAGTTTAGCGGGCATTCTTACTAGTTTTCTTTCCCAGTCATAATGAGAGTAAATAAAGAAGAGAGATAAGAGAAAAATGTAGGACAAGCTTTAAGGGGGAACGCTGTTTTCTCATTATTTTATTCCCTACTTTCCACAAGGAAAGGCATGTAAAAATAGTGGGCAAATGTCATTGTGGGTTTTACATGTAAGAGTTCCAGTCCTTTTTTTTTTTTGAGACAGAGTCTCACTCTGTTGCTAGGCTGAAGTGCAGTGGCGAGATCTCGGCTCACTGCAAACTCCACGTCCTGGGTTCAAGCAGTTCTCCTGCCTCAGCCGCCCAAGTAGCTGGGATTACAGGTGCATGCCACCACGCCTAGCTAATTTTTGTATTTTCAGCAGAGATGGGGTTTCACCATATTGGCCAGAACGGCCTCAAACTCCTAACCTTGTGATCTACCCGCCTTGGCCTCCCAAAGTGCTGGGATTACAGGCGAAAGTACCTGAGTTCCAGTCCTTAAGAAAGGGAAGCTCAGAGATGAACAAACAACTTGCTCAAGGACACAGATAATCTGATATCCAGTTCTGTCAGGTGCTGAGGGCTAGGGTCTTTATTCTGTTACTGTGCAATGATCAGCTTTGAGCATCTTGTGCTCAGTTTCTGAATTGTGTTTCTTTTAGGTCTGACCAATACCTGGCTAAGCGCTCCTCTAAGAAATGGTATCGTTCTTCTCTGAGGCCTCCTCCAAAGAGTTCCCCAACTCCAGGAACCAGAAGATCAACAGCAGCAACCTAGAAAAACAAAGTAAGAACTATTATCAGCATTATATTTTCAGGTGATTCCAACAGTCAGTTTCTGAAGCAAGCAAATGTTTAACATTTTGGCAATGGCTAATTACCTACCTACCAGAATCTTAACTGATTTTATCTGTCTATACTCTCTGTTTCAATACCAAATGTTTAATATTATATTATCTTTTGAATACTTGCTACATACAAATTACAAGCGGACAGTTTCCTCTCTACTCTTGTACCATTTGTGTGGTATACTTAACAAAAATGTCTTTTCTTCATAAATGTGATAGAAAAGTTCATTATAAAAACATGCAAAGTGTTAAAAATTATGAAATTTTAAAAATTACCTATCACCACCAGAAACAATTACATTTTGGCAGATGTCCTTTCAGATTTTTTCCCTTATACATTTACAAAGAGTAATTACAGATAAAAACTTACCACTTGTCTTACCTAACACTACAAACTAATATTTTTCCTATGTTAGCGAAAATTCACACGTTATGTTTCAATAGCTTTAATGTTTAGTTTGTTTAGAATTATAATAATGTATTTAACTGTTTTCCTTTTTAGTTGGACATTTAAGGTGTGTGTATTTCTGTTTTATAATGTGGCAATGACGAGTTTAATTTGTAGTATTGTTATTAGGACATATAAAATAAATTCTGACTGTTAATCAAAGAAGTACAAAATTAAAAGAACAAGATACCATTCTGTAGTTATCAAAATGGAGATGATGGCCAAGCACAGTGGCTCATGCCTACAATCCTAGCACTTTGGCAGGGTTAGGGAGGCGGATTACCTGAGCTCAGGAGTTTAAGACCACCCTGGGGGCAACATGGTGAAACCCTGTCTCTACTAAAATATAAAAAATTAACTGGGCTTGGTGATACACGCCTGTAATCTCAGCTACTTGGGAGGCTGAGGCAGGAGAAGTGCTTGAACCCAGGAGGTGGAGGTTGCAGTGAGCTGATACTACACCACTGCACTCCGGTCTGGGCCACAGAGCAAGAGTATGTCTCAAAAAAAAGGGGGGATGATAAGAAAATAATATATATGTAGGACTAAGTCTGAAAGAAAAAATATAGGAAAATAAGATCAACAATATAGATAAGAGAATGAATAAACAAATACGCTCATATAACCGATACAACCTTTCTGGTCAGCAATTTGGCAACAGATAACTAAGCACTTGAAAAATGCAATATGCTTTGACTCAGCAATAGCAGTTCAAGGAACCTGTCCTAAGAAAATTAGAGATGCAAAAAAAGATTAACACACAGGATGTTTATTACAGCAGTACTTATGACAAAAAATTCAAATGCACATCAACAGACTATTAGATATGTTTTACACATAGATAGAAAAATGACTATTATCTATATAATGAGATGTTATATTGCTACTGTGATGAAATTACATTTTAAAATTTTGTTTTCTTCTTTTATTTGTATTTTCTTATTTTCTATACTAAACATTATAGTTTTATAAAACATAAAAAAAACTCTTAGTAAGGAAAAATGATAGCTTAGTATTTTAATTTGCATTTCTTCAACTACTAAATTAGTATTACTAAATTAATTATATTTCTTCAATTATTAAATTAGTAATATTTAATTTTTCAGGCCAGGCATGGTGGCTCATGCCTATAATCTCAGCACTTTGGGAGGCCAAGGCGGGCGGATCACCTGAAGCCAGGAGTTCGAGACAAGCCTGGCCAATATGGTAAAACCCTCTCTCTACTAAAAGTACAAAAAAATTAGCTGGGTGTGGTGGCAGGTACCTGTAATCCCAGCTACTTAGGAGGCTGAAGTTGCAGTGAGCCAAGATTGTGCCATTGCACTCCAGCCTGGATAATAGAGTGAGGTTTTGTCTGCCCCCCCCAAAAAAATAATTTAAAAATTATAAGAATAGATATTTATTTGTGACTAGGCATGGTGGCATGTACTTGTAGTCCTGGCCACTTGGGAAGCTGAGGTGGGAGGATTGCTTGATGCCAGGAATTTGAGACCAGCCTGGTCAACACAGCAAGACCCTGTCCCTAGAAAATATTTTTAAAATGCTTATTTGCAGTTGGGTGTGGTAGTGCATGCCTGCGATCCCAGCTACTTGGGAAGCTGAGGCAGGAAGATCACTTGAGCCCAGGAGTTTGAAGTTGCAGTGAGCCATGATTACACCACCTGTACTTTAGTCTAGGCGGCAGAGCAATACCTTGTCTCAAAACACAAAGTATTTATTGCTACCTGTATTATTTTGTGACTTTCCAATTTGTCTCCTTTGGGCAGCTATAAATTTTTAAGCCCAAGAACCTAAAGGTAGAAAACTAAGATTCAGTGTAACAAATGAAAAATGAGGAATCCATAAAACACATTTTAACCTTTAAATGTCACATTACATTATAAACTTCTTAAAAACTTTGCCTCTCTTTGCCATTAAGCCATCCTCTTCCCAGTTTTGATGTAGAAACTTTTGAGATATACTTTACAAATAATTGACAATAATAAAGAATAATTAAAAAAAAATAAAGAATTCAAGATTGTGCCCCAATGCTGTATACCTTATCCTCATTACTATCATTAAAGAGAGAAACATCAGCTCTGACCCTCATCACCAGGCTGAATTAGAGTGAGCAAGAACAGCTACAAAATTAATATGGCTGGGCTCTAATCAGGACCCTGCAGTTATCCCTTCTCTCCTCAAAGCAAGGAGAAAGTCTGGCATCTTTCTTTCCTGGTGTCTTGCTTTGAGACATGGCTAAAATACGACAGGAGTTAAGAGACAAGTGGCAAAAATTCTGTTCATACCTTCAATCCAGAGTGTTAAATTTAGAAATATAGGCAATCAACTTTGGAAGAGAATAGTCAACCAGTGACTGTTCGGCCTTATTAAAGCCTGAGAAACAGTATTCCTGAAACAGAGCATTCCATCCTTGTTTAGCTCTAAAATTAACTCAAAATGGATTAAAGATTTAAATATAAGATCTGAAATCATAAAACTACCAAAAGTAAATATAGAGAAAAAGTTATATGACATTGGTCTGGGCAGTGATTTTTTTTTTGGAGATGACTCCAAAAGCACAGACAACCAATGCAAAAACCAGATAAATGAGATGGTATCAAACTAAAAAGCTTCTGCACACCAAAGGAAACAACAAAGTGAAGAGACAACTCAAAGAATGACAGAGAATACTTAGAAACCATACAGCTTATAAATAGTTAATATCCAAAATATATAAAAAACTCATACAACTCAGTAACAATAACCCAATTTAAAAAAGGTAAAGAAACTGAACAAACATTTCTCAAAAAAAAAAGACATACAAATGACTAATAGGTACAAGAAAAAATGTTCAACATCAGTAATTATTAGGGAAATGAAAATTAAAACCACACTGAGTTATCACTTCACACCTGTTAGAGTGGTTTTTTTTTTTTCCTTCCTACATATATATATTTAAACAGAGATAGGGTATCACTATGTTGCTTAGGCTGGACTTGAACTCCTGGGTTCAAACAATCCTCCTGCGTCCGCCTCCTGAGTAGTAGGATTATAGGCACATGCTACCACCACACCCAGCTTTGAATGGCTTTTATAAAAACAGATGAAAGGTAAGTTTGGAGATGAAGCAGAGAAAAGGAACTCTTATGAACTGTTGGTGGGAATGTAAATTAGTATAGCCATTATGAGAATTGGTATGGAAGTTCCTCAAAAACCTAAAAACTGAATCACACACCTCAGCAATTCTACTTCTGGGTATATATATCCAAAGGAATAGAACTCAGTATGTCAGTGGTAATACCTGTACTTTAATGTTCATTGCAGCATTATTGATAATAGTAAAGATACATAAACAGATACAGGAAATATTGTATATATACATAATAAAATACTATTTAGCCTTAAAAAAGAGGTAAATCCAGTCACTTGTGACACATGGATGAATCTAGAGGATATTGTGCTAAGTGAAATATGCCAAAAACAGAATGACAAATACCACATGATTTCACTTATATGTGGAAACCAGTAAGTTGAATGGATATAAATAGCTAATAGAATGATGGTTAACCAGAGGCTGGAGGAATGGCAAGGAAGGGAATGAAAAGTTGCTGATCAAAGGGTACAAAGTTTCAAATAAACAAAGGAATGGGAAACAGGAGAATGATTTATTTTTTTGAGACGGAGTTTCATTCTTGTTACCCAGGCTGGAGTGCAAGGGCGCGATGTCGGCTCACCACAACCTCCACCTCCTGGGTTCAGGCAATTCTCCTGCTTCAGCCTCCCGAGTAGCTGGGATTACAGGCACGCGCCACCATGCCCAGCTAATTTTTTTGTATTTTTAGTAGAGACGGGGTTTCACCATGTTGACCAGGATGGTCTCGATCTCTTGACCTCCTGATCCACCCGCCTCGGCTTCCCAAAGTGCTGGGATGACAGGCTTGAGCCACCGCGCCCAGCCCAGGAGAATGATTTATTAATCAAAAGGTATAAAATTTCAGATAGAACAGATTTTGAGATTTATCACATAAAAGGTGACTATAGTCAATAATAATGTATTATATATTTTAAAATAACTAAGAGTAAATTTCAAATGTCTCACCATAAAATTGACGGGTAAGTCAGGTGAAGGATATGCTAATTAGCTTGATTTAATCAGACCACATTGTATACACGTATCAAAACATTATGTTATACCCTATTATGTTAGAATGTTGCATTTACTCATTATATATGCAACGATGACTTGTCAGAACAAGACAAAACAAAAAAATAAAAGAAGGAATAGTATATTCAAAATCTGTAATTTTCAAGGTTTCAAAATAGGAGTGATTCCATGGAACAAGGGTGGGCAGTAATGACTTTTGATACTGTAAGTACCTAAAAACAGAATCACACACCTCAGCAATTCTACTTCTGGTTATATATATCCAAAGGAATAGAACTCAGAATGTCAGTGGTAATACCCGTACTTTAATGTTCATTGCAGCATTATTTATAAT